ATTTGAAGAAAAAAAAAATTAATTATGATACATTTAGAAAAACTGATCTGATCGATTCTTGAATTCTCCCAACTATATCATTGTAATTTAATTAAATTGTAGGTGAATGTGAATCGTAACAAAGCGATGAATTAGCTCCATACACCATTCCAAACATTTGTATAACAGCCTGTTTTATGTCTTATTTTCATGGGAAATTCAAAAATTGGTTTGGAAAATTTACTGTTAGAGGTTGTCGCATAGTGCCGCCTTCAGAGAAAACCGTAAATATCTTTGTGGTTTGAGAACGTTTCCAGAATTGTATGCATGTTAGAGGGTTGGTATAGTAGAAGGAATATAATAAGTACCATTTCATACAAAAAGACGCAGTTATATCATCGACTTTCAACAATGTTACCGGTTCACTTTAAGAGGGCCTAGATACTTGCTCACGCACACTCACAGACATATACACACTCACTCACCCACTCACCCATACCTTACATATTTACTTTTAAAAACACAATATCGAAACACTTTCCGGAGGTTTGTGTTTTCTTTTTTGTCTTTTTGTTACATAAACACGCAAGTACAACCATTCTTTTAATCACATGTTTTACTAAGATCCAAAACCCTATAAACACCGCGCCCGCGCTTGCAATCCTGTAGTAAAAGAGTAAAATTATAGACGGATGAATACTTTAATTCTAAGTCGAAATATGACCAAATCGTATTCTCACGCCTTGAAATATGTTTACGACTTTAATACGGCAGTGACCTTCATTATATATCTACATCGTGACTTGTACGTGCGCAAGGAGCTGTCAAAATAAGGATGTGAACACCAGCCAAGCGATACATAATAATGATTTGGAAAATTAAACCGTGGTGGCTTGGGCATGCCTTGAAATGTCATCAGGGTATTACCTAATACCTAACGATATTAAAAGAAGGTACTGGAAATGTCACCTGGTTATAAACCGTTAGCTCCAAAAACAAGTGCTGATCAAGCGAATAAATCCCCTTTTAACCCCGTTGTATTTCCGCTCTGCTTTTACATGCACCTAAAATGCTCACAAATAAACAGCTTCAAGCGAATGTTTTAATTCGGTACCTATTTTTTAGCATGTAGTGAATACGAAACAGAAATACTTAATTCCTGGCATAAATTGCCTTTTTTTCAAAAGGCTATGTTACAAAATCGATTGCTTTTTATAATTCCTTCTACTCTTCTTCTTCTTTTGTATCATTTCTCCTTCTCCACCTCCTTTTTCAATGTACTCTTTATCTGTTATTCTCATATTTGCTTGTATTGTATTCGAAATTCAGCCCACGTCATGCCACCGTGGGTCCGAATTCAATAACTCATGATCAGAAATCCAAATCAGCAAAAAATATAATTTGATAGCATTCATCCATAAAGTCTCTTTGGCGATGTCAAAGACAATACATAACAATGAACAATAATATCTCTCTTTCCTAACTTTAAAAAAACGATAATAAAAATATAATTTTGTGGAGACCGTGAAACTTCATACGTCTTCTGCTCGCGACCGCCGACGGATACGTTTTAATTACACAGGATGAAAAAATATGATGTCTTTGTTGTTTGGTTCGTTCTCCTTGTAAGACAAGCAAAACGAGTCCCGAGGGCAAGTAGTAACTTGAGAACCAGGGATGAATTTATGAGCATCGCTAAGACCACATCCTGATGTCATTCCATCATGTTTTTAGGGCGCTCACTCCTTATCTCAAGCTCACACTTCAAGTATCTTATCAACTCTTGAACCTCACGGTTATTTCTGTCCGTTTGTTCAGGGCTCTTATTTAATTTTCCTTTTGAGAGTATTTTTAAAGATATACATCAATAGCCTCAAGAAATTTCGTGTACTTGCGACAAATCTTGATGTGCAAGCTCATTTGTTGGTGATATTGTAATCTTAGAATATCACTTTTGGAGAACTTTTTCGTTTTAGCAACTAAAGTTTTAGGTGTGCTTTTTTGTAGGTGGTAGTAAATATTGATGCTATAGACCGGTATAGGTAACATTGCGGCTAAAGGGTTTTTTGTGCAAAATATCCATTCAATTTGTTTGAATATCGCCTTCAGAGGTTTAGATGGCAATACCTCAACCTAAATTAACAAAACAGTAGAAATATATGCCCAAATGTTCAATGTTGAAGTGCATTTGCGATATCTATCCAGGCCGGATCGATATGATAATTTACCAAATATATTGATTAGTATTCGGTGTCCCGGCAAAATATGTATCATCAAGTGTCAAAAACATATTTTTTCACATGATTGGTAATAAGAGCTTCCATTTCATTTTTTGAGAGCGGGCGTTTCCGAAACTGGTCTATACCTTTAAATGAAAGTATTTGGTGAGCTCTAGAATTTTGACGAAATCTTGTGAATATAATCTCGTATTAAAAAGGTGTCGGGTCGAGAACGTCGTATCATATAAAAGTCATATAATAGGGCGGAGCTTATCGTGAGCGTGTGTTGATGATTGGCTAGCTGTCATTTTTATTTACGTCTTCAAAGATAGTTTCTGTACACTAGTTGTCTGGTATTCTCGTCTGTACGCCCACTGTGCTACACGATGATTCTTTGAAATAAGACCCATCATTCTAGGACCTTGTTTAATAACATTTCCACTAGTCTATAATGGCTATTAACTCTAAACAAATCGAAGGCTTGTAGCATTTAAGACCCTAATAATAGCAATCTGCATAATTTGAAGCATTTTTTTTTCCTCATTTCGCCATTCCAAATTGAACAAATAGTACCCACAAACGTATACCTTCCTTGAAATGTTTCAGTCGCTCAACCCATCACGCATTTGAATCCTACCCTATCTATTCGTATTTCATTTACTTAGAAATTGCCTCATAACTTTGACAACCTGCATGCTAAAATCTGATTTAAGCTTCCCCGATGTATTTGATTTGAGAGCTTTGGTGTGTTTTACTTTGTTTAACTGTGGTAAACCAATGGTAATATGATTCTGCATTTTTGGATGCAGAATATAACCGCAGAGTATGCGATTGGGATCGCCTTACCGCCTCCAGGCATCCTTGCGTTAAGGGCAATCAGATGGTATGAAACCAAAGAGATATGGTATGACTGATTTAAGGACAGCAAAAGAAATATGAAGATTACTTTACTCGGTCATTTACAAGGATATGAATTGCAGTTTATGGCCCTGAAGAAATATAGAGTTATAGATTCGGGTGCATGATCAAAGAAGATATGACGATTATTGAAGTTTATTTTATAAACGCCAAAAGAGTGCAGTACCACAAAATCGCAAACATAATACTTTTCTTAGGGTGCAGAAGACGAAGTGTTTAGAAGATATGAGATGCTTTGACACTACAATAGTTTCTTACAAAATGTGGTAATGTGGTACATTATGGGGTATGTGGTACTATTTTGCTTTGCCATCTTCATTCATGAGCTCAGTTCTCATTTAATTAAAATGCGTCGTTCAAATAACCATAGAAGGCGAAGAGCAGACTTTAATAGTTTATGGAAAGTGAGGATGTAGGAAATTCTGGAGTCCACCAACTAAACAAGCAGAAAATAATGCCTTAAAGATCTAAAACGACAACATTTGAAGTTAGGGAGAAACTTAAACTGAAGCATTGGAAAGGTATGTTGCTTCATCGTTTTATGTCAAATAATTAAATTTACTCTTAGAAAGATGGGCTTGGTGTAATGGAAGGTTGTTTTCGTCATTTCTTCAGTTCAAAGAGCCAATTATCAAACTTTACAAAATACACAGATGGAGTTTGGTCATGAATAGGTGTTTTGATTGAGATATGTACCCAATTTCAACTGAAGGCAAGTGACTGTCTGGGGTTTTGTTAATGGTGTCTCTGTGCTAAAGAATAGCGTTGATTGGCTGATGTCTCTGTTATCATGGTCATGTTTTCCCGACTAAATAGAATGTAGAGTGCCTGATTGGAGTGTGCAGGTGGGCCACTAAACCGTAGTTTTCCCCTACTCTTATACAAATAGTGCAGTGGTTTTTTAACGCAGGTGGTGATTATCATGTACACGGGGCCTCCATTCTACGTCTTATCCGAGGGACGGAGTGTTTTCCACTTAACATAGCCTGCGTCTAGGAAACTGCGACTAATTAGAATGCAGAGTGTTACAGTCAAGGTACATGTACCTACATGTAGGTACCCTGCGATAGTATTTGACAAGTTTTAATCCGTCGAAAAAAGAATCACATTCACAGGTGTAAGCAACGAACTTCTACGATGATCCGACTTACCAACCTGCGACATTTGCTCCGGGTTGTAGGGCCATCGACAGGGTTGCATCACGGTTTCACCTTCGGTTTAGAACTAGGATTAATCGAGCTTCAGTAGAGTGGAGGTCTTGTCGTATGGTGGTTTATTCACTTGACCTTCAATCCTAGGGTTGAGAGTTCGAATCCCAGTCCAGGACCAAAGTCTGCTGGCAAGACACTAATCCACATTTACTACTCTCCACCCAGGAGTTAATAGGGTATCTGACAATTGATGGGATTATAATAATTGTTGTGGCTTCGGGAAGAACAGCTGATACTGATGGGGCTTCCTTTGGGTATCACAATTATTATCATAATGGCGTTTGCTCCAGGGATCCAGTTGTTGATTAGGTAAGTGTAGGACATTTGCCGGAGAGCGATAGTTATTGGCGCCGGAGCATGTCTTGAAGAACCCTTATCCAATTGGTATACAACGTTGTGATTGATAGCATCCCTTCTATCTCACCTCTCTCTCCGAAGCATGGGGCGAGGATCCAACTATCCGACGAGAACTTTCACTTTGTTTTCAACGTTGTGAAAAAAATGTCTCATCTACTAACCCTTCTCTCTCTCTCTCTCTCTCTCTCTGCTCTCCACGGAGCATATAGCGTGGAACAACCTAGCCAACGTGAATTTCTCTTTATTTTACAACGTCGTAGAAAAATGACCTCACTAACAAACCTTTCCCTCTGTCTTTCTTTTGTGTTACAGTTCCCGTTGCGGGTATCATCGTCGGATCCCTCTGTGGCGCCGTGGTCCTAGCAGGCCTCGCCTTCCTCCTCTATCGGGTCTATAGGAGAAAGTGCGGGGCACGGATGCGCTATGAAAGGTTGGGTGGCATGCAAAAGCAGCCGGCGCCCGCCGTTCAGATTGATGGCAAGAGTTTGGCGACGCCTTCAGTAAGGTATGTATGGTTAGTGTCCCATTTTGTCGTGCTCCGGATCGCTGCTGGGTGCTCTACATTGTGCCACTCATTGTTGATGTTTTTTCATATGTCATTCTTGCCAGTCATAGCATTTAGAAGTTCACCGAACTACATCGTGGTTCGTTTGGTTTTTCTTGATAGATATAGAATAGAAAAAGATACATCCCTCACAGCATTTATACTACTTATTATTTTCTAACAAAAAGATAACACATTCCTGATGAAGCCCCACGGGCGAAACTTTGAAGTTACGACGTTTTACATAAAAATCTATTCATGTTTATCTTCTTCTATTTGCCAAAGTATTCCGAAGCTATGCATTTTAGAAAGACACGACCTACTTTAATATGCCATTTCAAGGTGTTCTCGCTGCCTGAAAAAGAGCAGACTTTACGTTAAGACGTTTTGGGAGCTAATATAAGAGATATATGACGCTTTTAAAGGATTAGTTGCATGTCAGCAAAGCGGGGAAAATCAATTTCGTCAATTATGAAAAATGCTGTTGCAAGATAGCCCCGAGGCTACGGCTACAATAGTCGAAAGTGCATTAAATAATTTCACCGGTGCAGTGAGCGAAGAACAAGAGAAAGCAATGAAGCGAGGACATTTTGCAGAGTAAGTCTACCCTAACATCAAGATGGATTAAAAAGGTTAATATTGTGAACAGAACATTATGTTTCCAATTCCTTCGGACAAAACAAAGACAATGGAAAACACATGAAAAGCTACGAATTGCCATTTTTTGCTTTTGAAATCAAAATAATTCCAAGTTTGATTCATTCATCGTCGGGTTTTCTTAAAATTTCACAAACCTATTATTTCATTTCCTGTGTAGGTTTTTCTCTCATTTCGCTTTTAGACTTCGGTGGTAAGCGCTTTATAAGTAACGTTTGTATTATTATTAATATTATTTCCTGTGTTTGGTCATCCTGACTTGATATCAGTCTCAGTTCTATTTTCAGTTTATTTTTGCCATATCCCAAAATTCACATTTTGGAATGATTCACAAAACAAATGGTAAAAACCAGCTGAAGTCTATTTTTAGAGACTAAAACAGAAAGTGAGTACCTCATGTCAGTTTGTGTGCATGAAGTAAATCTAAAAGACTGAACCAAACAAAACGTTCAATATGGGAGGGCCTATGGTGAAAGCTACGCTTGTGAAGTCATTTTCCTTATCGTTCACTTTCCTTGAAGCACTGGCTTTAAAGGGGCACGTTCCCGTCAGTGTAGTTATCGGAACATGCCATCTGCGTTAGAGCCGTATTCTGTTGGTGTCAATATGCAGCTATAGCACCGTCCGCCAGCGCGTATGTATTTTGAACGCCCTCTGGAATACGGGGAACATGTCCCTTTAAGACTGATATGTGAGAGAAATGGTCCAAAAGAAATTAAGATTATGAGAACCCCGTACGTCTAGCTTTACTACTATTTTCTTTCAAAGTCATCGACCTGATCAAGCAGTTATAATTTAGTTCAAATGTTCTTTAAAATTGCAATTATAATATATAAGAAATTAAAACAAACATTGTCTATATGATTTAAGCTTCTAAATATCGATAAAAATACTAACAACCGGACTGTTAGTGTATTGAACTCTTCTACTTAGAATAAAGTCCGGATCGGCTTCAAATCGTAGACGATCGCACTACTGGTCTGACGTCACTACGATCCTGAGCAAAGTTAGCCTTTCCTCTTTCAAGGAATCATGAAATCCCTTGAAATTTAGATTTGATTTAATCATATGACTATTCAGATCCTGGATCATTAAGATATTGATTGAATTAATTGACTGTTAGATCCGCCCGTAGAGTATAAAACACACTTGCTTACGTTAGATTTTATCACCTGACGAAGTGTTGCAGCGGCGCACGAAACGTCGTGACCTTTTAGATCCCGTGTTTACCATACATTGCGAGACTAACGAATATCACTAGCGATATTGATTTTGGTACAATTAAGATACTTACTTTTTGAACAGTTGAATGTGCGTATCAAATGCTATTGCAAATTTCATTATCGGATGGTAGTCGGGTCGTGTAGTGTGCGGAAGGCTTAAGAATCTAGCAAACGTCTTGATTCATTATCAATGATCATGATGAGCACGGAAGAGAATTTCCAATTTCAGAGCAGGAAAGAGCAAGCAAATTTCGATTAAGTAGAATACCCATCACCGAGTGCTGTTGGAATGTTTGTGTCATTTGAAGGTCAAACAGTCTGTTTTCTTGATCATGTGACCTTTTCGAAGTGTACGCAAGTCTCTCCTATGCATTTTTCTAATAACCTTCAGCAAACTTTAATAATTTTCAAGAGATGCCTTAAGAAAGACCGAAATTTCCACCATCTTAGGTTTCCTTCTCAGTGTGGTTTTTAATATCAAAACGCATACATCCCACGCCTCTGGAATATAAGATTCCTGTCGTTTCTTAGAAAGTGACGCTCACTTGGCCACTTCCCAAATATCTATAATTTCACACCTCGACCAGCATGACCAGTGCGTACAGACCTCAATAAATATCCTCCTGTTCTAATGAAGAGGTACTTCATCATAAGCTTCGATTCTCAACATTATTTTTTTAAATTGTTATCATTTATATGGATATCATTAATATCCAGGGCTAATTGTGGTAGTAATAGTAGTGGTGGTGGAAGTGTTGGTAATGGTAGTACTAGAAGTGTTAGAAGTAGCTGTGTTCCAAAACAGAGTAAAAGAAGAAGAAGAAACAGAAACAGAAGAAGAAGAAGAAGAAGACAAAGAAGAAGAAGAAGAAGAAGAAGAAGAAGAAGAAGAAGAAGAAGAAGAAGAAGAAGAAGAAGAAGAAGGAGAAGAAGAAGAAGAAAAAGGAGAGGAAGAAGAAAAAATTAGCACTTCTTATTCGTGATGTACACCTGCGCTTCGTAGACGCCACATGCGTGCAAAGGGCATGGCCAGTGCGTGTAAAACACAACACTGCAGAAACATAAAGATTTGTTTTTCACATTTTCTGTTTTGTTTGTGAAAATGGGTGAGTGACCTCATTAAAATACAGAAATAGTTGTGTCATCGATACAGAATTCATTTATTGAAGCGTACTTTCCTTTCTGGAAGACGATTTTTTTTTCTTTCTTGTTTGTTTCTTGCATATTGTGCCACAGGGTCTAAAATATAAAAGAAACCATACACAACAAACAGTTTGACATTTCAAGTTCCTGCGAAGATCAGAACACACATGTTTAGATTACAAAACTGTGATTTTGGGTCGAAATTCAAATATCACGAGAAAGGGTATCCTTGTTTCACTTCAAACAAATCCAATATTTTGTTATCGAGTTAAGAAACCTTTTACAAACACACCTGGAAAAAAGATATGTCACCGATTCCTTATTTTCTATAGCCTACCACGAAACTTTTAAAAAATGGTAGCTTGTGGGCAAAAGTAACGTCATAATACATCATGAATCTGTACGCTTGTCACGTATTGCCCTGGCTTGTTTTTATGAAATTTGGCTAGTGGAAGATCGATATTTTTCCCTTTGTCGCTTATTGTGTTGCATCCAACCAGTGACGTATCTAGAGAGGGCGCATGAGGCGAAATCCCCCTTATTTTTGTTTTGTTGGGGGGGGGGGGGTGGCAGTCCCTATGGTCTGCGGATAACAACGTTTTAATATGTGCACCTTTATGTTTAGATACTGGATTGAAAAAATATGTCCGTTGTTAGTAATTTTGAAAACAAATTGTTCCAGTAAAGACATGTTAAAGTTATGCTTAAAACAAAAAATACCTAATTTTTATGTTAACTGTCTCGTAACTTGGAGCGAACTTAAATATATTCAATTTCCACAAGTTATGAATGTTGAAAATCAAGTATTGTGGTACAATAGTAATATTACACATGAGAGCAAACCTCTCTTTTTTAAAGAATGGTTTAGAAAAGGCATTATAACAATGAATGACATTGTAGAAAATGGACGTTTTCGGCCAAGAGAACATATTTGTAGAGTGCTTGGCTCAAATTCTTTGCTAGTTGATTTTATGTATACGAAGCTTAAAAATGCGATCCCAAAAATGTGGATCGAAAGAATTCAAGATGTTAATTACGCACATGACGATAAAACAAATTCACAATTCGAAGGCGACTTATACGAAATAAGAACGCTTGATTTTATAAGACTATCTTCAATGAAATCTAGCCATTTCTATAGCCTATTGTGTGACTTTAAGAAAAGAGAACCAGCTGTATTAACATTTTGGGAAGGTAAACTGAACCTTGTCATTGATTTTGATTGGAGAGATACATTAAAATTTAAGTTTAAGACATTGAAAAACAATAAAATAAAACAACTCAACTTTAAGACATTTCATAGGATTTTACCCTTTAGATACAATCTGTGCAAATGGAAAATTGTAAATGAAAACCTTTGCATTTTTTGTAAAACAGCAGAATCTTTCGTTCATGTTCTTTTAGAGTGCCCGAGCGTAAAGCTTTTCTGGAAACGTATTGTGGAATTGATTGAATTGAACTTTAAAGAAAAAATTATATTAAACGAAGAATTATTAATTGCTGGTTTTGATTTCAAACATGCAAATGGAGCAGATATAAATACAATCGTTGCATATGCTCAATACGCAATCTATTTGATGTATATGTTAAATTATTTTCAAGGTAAACCATACAACAGCTTTTTCATATGGCATGTTTTTAAATACGAGTTACTCTTGGATAACATCTCGGATGTTGTTTCAGGGGCTCTCGGGACATAGTATTTTTTTTGGAGAGTTTTTGAGAGCTTTTGTAATAGCATCTGGGAACTAAGGAAAATCTTCGGGGATATTTTATATCACTGAAGATTTTCTCTTAATAGTTTAAGAAAATACTTAAAGTGAATGTAAAATTTTGTTATGATGTAATGATTTGTGTGTTGGTTATTTTTGTAAATGAATAAAGTACCTCTGACAAGAGGAAAATAAAAAAATAAAAAAATATGTGCACCTTGTATAAGTTTTGTTCAACTTATGTTGTTCAGATCGACAAAATACTTACGCTCTAGTGATGACCTCTCCCCAATCATTATCCTATATTAACCTAATCTAATTCAAAATCCTGGATCCGCCACTATTTATTTGTCGCTTTATTTCGACAGGGTAGCCCTTTCAGTTATACAAACAACTGCTCGGCCAAGGGGCCCTGTATCAACATAATCAAAAACATATTAACAAAACATATAAACATACATAAGTTGTAATGAGCACATAAATTAAACAAGATATAACGTTGAAATGAGCGAGGGGAAATAGTGCTTTTGTTACAGTATTTTTTTCTTGGTTTTCCACAGCATTCTTAGTTTGCATGATCAGCTATATTCAACTGTCTTCTAGACAAGTACATGCGTCCATAAATAGGCTCGTTGAAAAGCTCTTAAATCTATAGTTTCCACTCGTATTCCAATAACTGGCTTCCGTTTGATATAGAATTATCGTTTCGTGAATGAGGTAGCATCGATTTCAAAGCTTTCCAAAGATCCTTCGTCTTGAATCTTTTTCAGCATAACACCTGCTCGTACAATCTATAACACGACCGAATGCCAGAGCAATTACAGTGCCGAACTAAGAGGAGTGATGGGTAGATAGATAGGGAGAGAGAGAGAGAGAGAGAGAGAGAGAGAGAGGAGAGGGGTAGATTTAGAAATACAACCCCCCCCCCCAAAAAAAAAGGATTATAGGTGATCTGGTAACTCCCCCCCCCCCCCCTCCCCTCCCCTTCCCTTTCTGTCTCCCTCTCTCTCTCTTTCACTTCCTCTCTCTGAGTCCCTATTTTCCTCTGTCTATGTATTCTTCCTTCCTTTATCTATCTTTATCTTCATTTACTCTGTCTGTATGTCTCTCTCTCTCTCTCTCTCTCTCTCTTTCCCTCTCTTTCTGTACCCCCACCCTCTTTGTTACATGCCTTTAAATTGCAGATAGTTTCCTTCTCATTGTATTTTCTCGAGGCATATGTCATACTATTTTCACCAAGCGATAATTGATAGGTATCATAGTATCAAATGCCCAAACATTAGATTACCGGATGAAGCCTATTCCTCAACTTTTACCAGCAAACGATTCCATTATTATTTTCTCCGGACATGAAAGGATTAATGACCCTGAAGCAGTCTTGTATAGTAGTAATTCTAATGCCATAAATACATTTTCCTCGGATATCATGGACTAAAATACCCTCCCTTTTTTCACAAGTTAACAACCTAAAAAGTAGCAAGCTTTCTCCATGACGTTAATAAAAAGCTCTGATCATGAGAGTTAATACGTGTTCAATTTACGAAAGAGTCATATTTCACCTTTTTCTCCATTTTGTTTTCATATTTTTCTTTTCTGTCATTAAACTTGCTTTCTAATTGTGAAGGAAGGCGACGGCCGTTGGCTTTCAAGACCAAGTAGGTCAAGTGTTTCATGTTCTTGAGATGTTTTTCCTCTTTCTTTCTCCATATGTCATACCGATGGTATTTTGTGTTTTCGTAAGGTGTACAGTGCGTGTGAGTCGGTGTATGAGATGCTATATGTAGAGCATGATTCTAAGTAAGCTGCGAAACGCTTTTGGTTTTCACGCGCCAGGGATGTTCAACATGGCGTAAAAACTGGAGGCAATCTACCGAAGCGTACTCGATATGTCGGTAAAGTAAACATGCCGATGCTTTCACCAAAGGCATATCTTGTTTTCCCCTTAAAAATACTCTCCCTGTAGTATTTCGGTGTGTTCTCTCATATTAAAATGGCGTTGCAGTCTACTGCATTTGCCTTCAAACTACTGTCCTCGTATGCAGGTCTCTATCATGTATGTATTTTAGATGTTAACGTTGTCAGGTTTTAGGGCATTGGCCTTCATCAAACAATGTCTATAGGCGTTGTCAATCGCTCCGACTATCCGATTATATCCTAGGTACCTGGATATTACGAGTATTTTGAGTGATTTGCTGTCAAAATTCCTACAGAGAATAGCTAGTCATTTCAGATATGAAAAAGTGTACAGGGCCTATAAACGAACCCCGATTCTGAATATTATAAGTATTTTGAGTGATTTGCTGTCTAAATTCCTACAGAAAATAGCTAGTCATTTCAGATATCGAAAAAGTGTACAGGTACTAAACGTACCCCGGTTCTGGATATTACGAGTATTTTGAGTGATTTTCTGTCTTAATTCCTACAGAGCATAGCTGTCATTTCAGATCTGGAAAACAGTGCATAAACGTACCACGGTCATAGTATGTTCTTCACCTCTCACTCTTTCTCTTTCTTTCTCTCTCTCTCTCTCTCTCTCTCTCTCTCTCTCTCCCTCTCTTGTATTTGTCATAATGTTGCTCTTTTAATACATCCGTCTCCTCCCATTATCTTCCTTACTTTCTCTTTCACTCCTTTCCCCCACTCGTTTTTATTCCAAACTATATGTGACACCCACTCACTTCACCATGCTCACCTCTCGTTCTCTCATTCCATCTGTGAGGAGCGAGAACATGTCGAAGGCTGTTAACTCTATAATTTCACACATACTTAACGCCTTGTTTTTCTCCCTCTCTCTCTCTCTCTCTCTCATTCTTACTTTTTCGCTTTGGAAATGTTTTGATACATGCTGAATGTGAATGCGAATGCCCTGAATCTATGCAAAATCCAATCTGTAAAGGAATTACAAAACAAGCCCCTGGGCGACTTTTTACCGAAAGAAATCTCTTGAATGGGTCTATATCATACGATACCGAGACAGGGGATTATAATGTCAATTAAAAAAGGCTTGGAGAGATTGATGTTCACATCTTCTACGAGTATGTTCGTTAATACCTTATGCATTTTCCTCACGAACTGAGAAAAAATAATGGCGCCTACAATCTTTCCATCTTGCCATGCTCACTGCATCTGCGCAGTTCTTGGAAAGCGGTGACAAATGGGGAAACCTGGACGTTCTCTTGATTTATTTACGAGTAAATCTCGCTTTCAAAAGTCAATAAGAGCCAGGTGCCTGCATGGTAGATACAAGACTCTACCTAAAAATCAATTAAATCTTACCTTTCCGAGCATCGCACTTAACGGCTGAATTGTAGCGATACTAGAGAGGTGTTGGCGAGGCCTTTGCGGATATTGACACTCACTTCATTTTTTATGTTCTGCATCTGATGCTACTACCATGTCCAGTGGCGGATCCAGGGGCACCTTCCTCCTTGATAAGAACACCACGAGGCATACTTAAACCCTTTGCTTACTGGAACCTGATGGTCCCTGTGTTAAGCCTATGGGACTTATAAAATTCGGTAGTCAACGGGTTAAATACACCTAAAAATATGCAAAATTAATGCTGTTTGAGTGTTGTGCCCCTCTCCCCTCCAATAAACTATCACCTTGTGAGCCCTCTTTTTTTTCAAATCTTGTTTTAAAATATGTTGGGGAATCGTGTTCCCCTAACAATTCAGAGAATCCCGGATCAGCCCCTGACCATAACCGCTACCTTTTTTATTTTATTTTTTCTTTAATTCTGTTTGTTTTCCCATCTCCCCTTTACACAAAAAACAGAGGCGTAGCGTGGGTGGATATGATTATTGATGTATTAGGGTAAGGCATTAATCGTTAATTGGATTACATGTATTTATCCCGTTGACATGACACATTGTTAATTTTATCTCATCATCCTGAAATCAATGGTTTTCTTCGAAATATGTTTCCTATCAATTATTTGAAATGTACATTGTACGTTTATGGGTAATTAAATGTAACCAAACGATTGATAAGAGAGGATAACTGCCGCATCCACAAAGTAGTATCTCAAACAACCAAAGACCCCCCCCCCCCGACTGGTATCTTCTTCTTTTGTCTTTTTGTTGTCACCCACTCGCTTGCGATGCTGTTGACGGATACTCGTTATTGATTCGAAGTGCGATTGAATTCGATCAGCAAAGAACAAAATTGATTCATTTCAGCTGAAGACGCATCTGTATTACAGGACAGTGATGGGTTTCCTGAAGTCCGAAAAAATGAACTACATTGTCGATTTTACGAGCATTTTTGGCAGCTCTTTTTTCCTAGTTTCTCAAAACATCATATACATATACTTTCACTCTCCGGCTTTCTCTTTCTCTATCTCTTTATCCCCTCTCTGCCCCTCTTTCTCTCTCTATTTCTTTCTCTTAATATTTTCATGATTATGTCATATGTGAGGAAGTTTTTTCGACAGTACTGCAATTTACAAAAATAATCAATTCTACAAAGTAAAATTGTAAATGTACTTTTTATCATGCCGTTAATCGTATTTATTCTCCCTTCTTTTTCAATCTTACCCTTCCCTTCCCCTTCCCACCCAACAATCTTCTTTTCTTCTTTCATCTATTTCTTCTTACTTTCTAAATTCCTTTTTCTCTTCCAATCGTCTCATGTCCATTACTTTTATCCCACTTTACCTTTCCATATAATTCCTTCTTCCCTCAACATGCCCCTCTGCAGTTTAAAGACAGTCCCGTTCACCCTGCCGCCGGCCCCCATCCCCAGGGAGCGCATCGGGGGTTTCACATTCCCCCCTCCTAACTGTATGCCGGACATGCTGGATCAACCCGACATGAGAGGGTCGGCCGAGCGGAGACCCTCTGTTACCATGGAGCGAAGGCCGTCCTACGCAGGTAACCATGACAACGTATTAACCACACCCCCACAAAATCAATCTCCAATGAATATTTTATTGCGTTTCTATAGGGTCCAATGGCGTTTGAATATAATTACCCCTGAATACAGGTCAGTTGATTGAACAATGGTTATTAAAACATTAAGACATGCTTTTGAATAAAACAATAAAAGATATCAACGTGATCAATCTTTAAGTCCCTTGTTTACCGGAAAGGTCCTTCAGCAATGACTCAACAGACCTTTCTTACTTATAATTATATGCCTTCTTGGCATATATATATTTTTTCCTTCAAATTTGGATATGACCTTTCATGTATGTTCATGATTAATTGTATTGGCGTTGTTTTAAAATTCTTTGATTTTATAATTTTGAAGACATGAGGATGCTGTCTTTAAAGGGTTTGATCCGAGTTGATCGTAGGTCCTCCAATCAATCGCAAACTTACAAACTTATAAATGTCCTTATTATAATGGTAAGTTTGTTATCAAGACAAGGTTGCGATCAACTTCGATCCTTATCGTGGCAAAGTATAATTATGCCATGTGTATTCATCGTTATATCACATACCAACCAACCTTTTTCCTCCACCATCATAATATGTTTGCCCTTAATTTTGTTTAGGCTGCCAAGTACCCATCATCAACCAGGATCAGCAGAAAATCATGTCGTCGTCGTCATCGGCGTACGACCAGGAAGACGGACGTCGTGACAGCGTAGGTACTCTCAGCCTATGCAGCGCCGATTCGGCCGAGGGAGGATCCCCCACCCATAACACCAGCTCGCCCCGGATCAACAACCGCAGACCGTCCGCAACCGAAATGATGAGTCCGCCAGTTGGTAAGCTCAAAAACTTTTTGCCTAGTCCCATCCGTTCCTTTATTGTGCTATTGGACACAAATCGTATTTGTTATCTTCTTTAGATGTGAACGTATCTAGACGAACAAAATTGATGAAAAGAGCTAAATACAAGGTATACCCGTAAAATATCTCCAGAGAAACTCTTGCTCCCTGATGTTGAATGTGTATGAACAATATAAATCCAATACTTTTATCCAAACAGACGGACAAATTAATGTCGGAGTTCCAGACTCATTCAATTGAAAGGCAATCTGAATGGGATATCATGTCCCACTTATGTAAACATAAATGACGAAAGTACTGCATGTTTTTTGTATTTGAGGTGATAAACTGTTCACATTATTTCAAAATCCCGCAGTTCCAAATTGTGTCTACCTTTCATCATTTTTAATAGTGACTTTACAGGATGCGTGACAATATATCACGTTCCACTTCAGATGAGAATTGCACAATGAGCACTATAAAATGAAAAACCCATATTAAGCACTTTATTAATGTATTAGCGGATCATAACACTGTCATCAAACCATCTAATGACATTCATAGATATTTCAGCACTGCGTCGTTAAACCTTTTGAACATCACCGCCACACAAATATATTACATCATGAGAGCACATTATATTCTCAAGGGTGTATTTAATAAGTTCATGAAACAATCTAATGAGAAACGAGACGATCTGGGCTGTACGGGGTTTGCGGCGTGCTGTAAGGGGGATATAATCAAGTCTTTGGTTGAAAGAAAGTTAATAGAAGTATATTTTTCTTGTTGTTGTTGTTGTTTTTATCTTTATTTGGGGGTTGTTTTCTTTGCTTTTGAGCTTTGTTTTTTAAGGGGACGGCGGAAGTATGTATGTTTTGCCAATGTTATTTACAAGCACGTAATAAAAAGGCATGTGGGACAACCTCGACATTTGTTTTGTATTTGTATACATTTTATTTAATCGATATAATGTGGGGAACATGTGTGTTTACGTATGTGTGCATCGAGGGACTAACTTACGAATACCAGAATACTATCCAGATCCTTTTAGATAACAGCCTTGATATCTTATCTGCCTGATTTTACCCACACCGAAACAAACGAGCCGTATTAATGTGATAAACTCATCATATGAACTTCGCCCTGAAAATAATCTAGACTAATAGTTAAAGGAAATGGGATTCTTTTCGGCACCGTCAGATCTATTTATTACGCTACAACAAGGTTGAAACGATGCGTGCACCGCGGGATAGGGCAACCGATTTGTTTTCCTCTTCTTTTTTAGAAAGGTTGATGACGTATGTAGAGTGAGCTCATGTGTACGTCGCCTTTGGGAGAAGCAACAACCCCCCCCCCCCCCCCTCCTTCTACTCCTCCTCCTTCTCTCCTATTTCCGATTTGTAGTTGCAGAATAAATGAATTACTGAGCATCATATCTCATCAGGGGTGGAACCTTTACTTTATTGGGCAGGGGGCGCAAGTCTAAGGCTTTATTTAAGACTCCGCTTATCAGTCATGGACTTTTAATTAATGCGAAAGATTTGGTATGATTTGTATAGTAATCACTATTTTAATATCATTATAGTTGAGAGATATCGCGGAGAATTAAAACCAATTAAAATCCTAACCGATAGGTAAACGGAAATGAATTTATTCAGTCATCCTCAATCATTTAACAGATAGCGGAAAAGATAATCATATCTCTCAAGCAATCTATGTAGAAAAGGAATCGTTTACTGACACTAATTACTGATTCATGCTTATGATCCTGATTTGTTTTTATCCAGTAACTTTTCTACAGACCATTTACATTTATATCGTTATCGCTATCAGTAATGTGTAACCGGCCATGTACACCACCCGCCCTTCCCCAATGTACTAGGAGATAACGATAAAATATAAGTTACTTACGCACATAGGATTTCAACATTCTAGCTCCCCGATCAGCACCATTACCAGAGCACGAAACGAGTCATTAAAAACATTACACGGAGCAGTGGCTCCATCGCACCTCCTAATGCCAAGGCCAGTCAGAGCCGGTTTATTTCAGTCAACTTTATCACAAAATATAGATCAAGAACACGCATTCATTAACCTATTCTGCTTTCAGAGTATTCCCCATCCCTACCAATATACAGCAAAAAAAATGGGTGCATGAGAAGTCCCATAAATTATTCAGTTTTCATTAAAGGTGAGTTATGGTAATGTCAAAATGGCAGCTGCACGAAGCATTCTGATTATCAATAAGCACCCTCTTCTTGTATAGGGAGGGCCTGGATCATGCGTGCGAGAGAATGAGAGAGATGAATCAATTATCATCTCTGGAATTGCTTGATTCGAAAGTAGGCGTACATCAGCGCCGAAAGACCTAACACATACATAAACACAAACAAATAGACCTAGTTAAATGAAATGGAGGGATGAAAAGCTATTTTTGTTTCATCAGAACTAGATTTAGGTCGATATGGCACCTTTTTTCTTCGCCTTACTTACATCGTCATATAGAACCGTTATCTAAATTATGCATAGAGATCGTAAACACATTCTTTTTGTTGTCTTTGTTACTTTAATTTTCTTGTTTTGCTCGTATGGTTAGTGACGAGAATTGTTGATATTCTATGAGATTATTTTAATCTAATTATCAGGACATCACGAGTAAAAAGGAAAAACAGGAAAAAATAAAGAATTGTTGACAAACCCTAGGTTAAAATACAAAAATATCAACAAATTTGAGTTCAAATTCATTCTAGATCAGAGCTTATTATCTTTCAACTAAAAATAATTCTCCTTGTGAAGACAGAGGTGTAATTAAGGTCACGTGAAGACCTTCCCGATTCGATTTTAGCATATATCAAAGTGTCTACCGATGGCCCTGGTACTTGTTAACACCCTGCCCTACGCCTAAAAATTCAATTAATCCTTCTAGAAGCCATTTTTCCTCTTCGGTTGGCAACGACCTACAAATTCCAAATTAGGTCTCGATCCATTTCACCCATGATCTAGATATTCCTTTATTTTAACTCATGCTTCCGTCCAATGTTATTTTAAGGTCGCTTTTGCTGTTCTTGATGTTTTGTGGTTCTTGCTCTTGTTCGTATTATTTTTGTTCTTTCTTTTTGATTTGGTCGTGTTTTTTGTTGATTTTTGTTGCCGTTGCTACTGTTGATGATGATTTTGCTGGTTCTTCATTAATATGCTAAACCATAGAACTAAGAGGTTCCTCTTTATCCATCATCTTCATTATTATTATTACTTTGATGAATGAATTGAAAATTACCTTATTATCCTACGTATGAAATGTCGGTATGGCACTAAAAATGAACCTTCCTAAAATTGTAATGCGGTTTAATAATAATAATATTCAGCTTTTATATAGCGCTTAATACATCTTGGACGTCTCTAAGCGCTTTACAGATATACTATTACCCCGGTCATCGGATTCAGTGCTTGCCCGCACACACTGTGTGCACAATCTCCACTCCCTGGGGAGCATTCCAGCCAGGCGTTACTTGACGCTCAAAAAATGTTAGACCAACAATGACGGTCGCATCATACCGGGTGCGTTATTTTTTTCTGCGGCACAGATTGGGGTTAGGTGCGTGTTGAGCCTATGGGAAAATTTAGGGTTAGGGTTAGGGTTAGGGTAAGGGTTAGGGTTAAATCAAGACCTCTTTTTTTAAAAAGCCCTAATCTGTGCCGCAGAAGAAAATAACGCATACCGGGTACCCATTTTAACACCTGGGTGGAGAGTAGCAAGTGTAGGTTAATATCTTGCCAAAGGTTATTAGTGCCTGAATTCGAGGCTCCGTTCGGATGCTAACACTGAAACTTGGTCGAATTCGTCGACAAAACATCTAAATATAGGGCACAAGTATCATGTGATACCGATGGAACATTATAACATGCTCGGCAGGTTCAATTTCAAATTCTTTTGCACTTTCAGAAATGTTTAAGAAATCGTTTTTAACCAGATATTCCTCTCGTTGCTCGTACACGACGTCTCTACGGATGCCTTGAAACGCTCGTATTGTAGTCTATCATTCTTGAATTTCTGCAAAAAGTGTGTCTCGCATATCTATGCAAGAGCATTTAATGTCTTCATCTTCTTTCAGACAAGCTGTTTTTTAACGCCTTCAGATATCGCCTGTCATACACCACCTTAAACGCAGTCCCCATCCTCTTGACTTCTATTTCAGAATTGAAAAACAGTGACCCCGCTTTTTACCCATTTTTCGTATCGGGGTTTGGATCGCAAAAGGTTAAGTTCCCTAGAGAGCGAGAAACAAAAATCAGTTCCACTGAGTTATTAAAGTGTATAAGCTTTCATGAGGCATCGTGTGTATTCTTATTGCACCTGTTTTTGGCAACCTATTTGCTTATTTCAGACCGGTTTAGTGAAATAGCGAGAAGTTGGAAGCCCATCCCTTAAAACAGAAACCGTCTATAGAGGGCCGAAATGATGCCAATTTTAAAATATGAAACAATATAAATGAACACTCTTCTTGTTCTCATGGATTAATAGGGAGAATGTTAATTTGCTGCTGCCATTCCTTTTTTTTATAAATAATTCCAAACGTTCATTTTTCGTCACATGAATTTTGGAACGAGGTACACCTGTTCAGTTTTTGTATGAATATTTACAGGGGATAGTTTTCGAGACTAACTTTTGCCATATTTAACCTGAATATCCAAACGCAGTTGCACCGCTGAGGGTATAAGTTACCCTTTTCCTCGTCTTGACTGCAGAAGACTGCATATTCCCATGGCCTTTCATGCCTCATTGTACTCGTAACCGAATGCTTTCTTTTAAATAGGATTTCTAAGAAGATAATACCAGCCCGGTAAACCGTCCGCAACCGCTCTTAAGTTATTAAGCCAATATCGTTTTAACATCTTTGAAAACACGCATGATTGTGTTCGTCGGATGAATAAGATGGCGGGCCTTGAAATGGAAGCGATATATTGCATGAAAGTATTTTCACTGCTCCCCAGACTAT